ATGGTGGCCATAGCCCTCTGCTATCACCACAGTCTACAGGGGCCAGCCCTTCCCCAGAATCCTTTACAGAGAACCACTTGTAGAAGACAGGAACACTGTGGTCTTTACATGAGTGACTGCCTGCCTTCTGGGTGGTCCTGGTGTCCCACTAGTCCATAGGGCATTGCCCTGGTAACCCTGAGGCAACATCTTCTCTAGTGGTTTCAATCCACCAGTGGCTCTGGGGGGAAGGTGCAGTTTACAGCCTCAGAAACACACCGGAAGGTCAGCTGTCGGTTGGTTCTGACTCCAGAGCAGTAAGTCTGAAGTTTGATGGGCTGCTTGGGGTTTGATTTTTTTTTTTAAGTGATAGTTAAGCTTCTCAATGGCATAAGTGTTGTCTGTGTCCTTGATAACAAAATGCCTGGTGTAGGTGATTTTTCTTTTTCTGCTAATGGTGATTATGCTTTTAAATGTGTTAACTTTTCTGAGAACTCTCTGAGAGGTCTTTTCTCCCTTTGTGAAGAACAGCAGAGCAAATGTTATTTGGATCCTGTCACTGCTCCCAAGTCCCCTCGTACAGTCCCAGCAACTTCTGCACTCTTGATCTACACTCTCAAACCCAGGAAGACTAGGCATGATTAAGTCTGCTGAAGTGAATTCTTTGTTTAAGTACTGTTTTTCTTTCTGGCTACCCTAGGTATCAGAACAAGGTTTAATAGAAATCCTTGAAAAAGTAAGCCAACAAACAGAAAAGAAAACAACAGTTACAGTAAGTTTCCAAAAATGTACATGGTTTGTAAAATAGTGAGTTTTAAAAATGTGTTGTACTGAATTGACACCCACTGTATCAAAACATTTGTTATATTTGCATCTTATAACAATGGAAGTTTGTAAAGAAAGGCTGAATATATTGACACGGTGTCTACTAAACACAGCAAATGTATTTAAGGCTTTTGTACACTGCCCTCCCAAGTTGTTGTAAAGACTCACAGAATGTCTTGCTAAAGTAGTAGTTTTTCTTAGAAAATCTCAGGTATACTTTATGTTATGACACTTGTTTCATTTTCCCCCTAGTTCAACAGAAGAAAAGTAATGGACTCTGATGAAGATGATGATTATTGAACAAAACACTTTAAATTTAATGGAACAATTTCTAGGACAACTAGTATTTGGCAGAAGTCAAGATATGATTAAATGTTTACTTTGTTTATAGTCTATATATGCCTTTAAAAAAAATAAAACTTGTTATGCAGAATAAAACAATGGAGACAGTTGTTTTCGTACCATAGCAAAGTGGCCAGAAGATCTGCATCAAGAATGTTTTCCTCTCCTACCAAATGCATGTGTAACTGCAAATGTGGGGTGCTGGTCAGCTCCTGTGACAGTTTTAGTGTAGGACCCCGACAGGGCAGTTCTGCTCGGTCCTACAGAGTTGCTAAGAATTGGAAGAACTTGATGGCACCCCACACCAGCAGCAAGAATGGAGTTCCTGGATGATGTAAATGATTAGATCCTTGGCTAATGATGAAAAGACTGATGGTTCGAATCCATTCAGGAGCAAGAATGGCTTAGGAAATCTGCTTTTGAAAAATCAGCCTCCAAAACCCCAGCAGAGTCCATTTAGAACATAAGCAGTTAAAAGTTGTGGTAGTTCTGACTCTCAGTGATAAAATTTGCAAGAGACTAAAAGCAAACTCTAACTTGGTTTTCCTTTCACTGGATTATGAAGACAACTAACTTGGCTTATAGGCTTAGCTGTCTAGTTAATTTTTAAACGTCCTAGTCCCATCCCAAGAGCAATTTCCAACACGGAGATGAGTAAGATTAGTAACAGAAGAGTAATGAGAAATGTGATTTATAATCCCGATCTTGAACTGGCAGGCAGACTGCTGAGCTGTAGATAGACAAAACTGCATTCTGGAGTTTCCTGAGTTTGTAACTGGAAATGCCTAAGCAATGAAGAAAAAGTCAGTACTGGAGTTAAATGTCTAGCCAGATGAGAATTAAGAACATTATAGAATTTTTCTGGAACAGATCTGAAGTAAAATTTGATCAAGACTTTTGAAAAAGAAAAATCTCAATTACTGGCAAATTTTGCTTCCAGCTTCACTTCCATTATGTTGAGGGGAGACTAGAAATTCTCAGCAAGTTTTGTTATACTTTCTTTTGCAAAATAATGCTTGTCCTCTCACCCATTTATCAATATGACTTTGTTTCATTCTCAAACTCCACTCCTTCAGGGAAAAGAGCTCTGGTGGTCCCATGGCCAAAGCCCTGGGCTGCTGTCAGGCACATGGGTGCTGGACACACTAGCCACTCGGAGGAAGAATTGTGAGGCTTCTGCTTTCCTTAAACATTACATCCTTGGAAACCCTAAGGGCAGTTCGGCTCAGTGGTGGTAGATCTGGGATGAGTTTGTTCTCCTTCTAAAGTACTTGAGATTCAGAAGAGGCTCTGTATTCAGTGACAGAACCTTGAGGACAACAAAGAACAGTTTTGCCTGGGTAACAAGGTCCGGCTCATCCTAAACTCCAGCAAAAAAACCTTCGCACTTTCTTACCAAAAAAAGAAAATGCAAGTATTTCTAGTTTCTAGGTTGTCAAAGTTTAGTTTTATGTAGGAATATGATAGGAAAAGTGTTTTTAAAAAATGGAGGTAGTTACATAAAGTGGCTTAATACTACTGATTGTTAGAATACTCAAAAATAACTCCGTGTAATCCCAAGGCCCACTCTCAGCACTTATTATTTTCAGATGAAGGGCACATTAAGCAACGAACTACAGATTCTGATGCCACCATCAACCTGGCCTATCCTTGGACGTGAGATCTTGAGCAAATCAGCCTCATTTCTCTGTTACTTGTTTCTTGATTCAGTGGTTACAACACAGCTCACTTGTTAGAAGGGTTTATATGAATGCATTTTCAGATTTATATTGTACCACTTCTAAAGTTAGGTGGTGTCGAGTGTATGTGTATGCAGTTTGATTAACCATAGTTTTCTAGTGAGGATGGCATAGAACCACAGCAACACAAGTCAGTAATGCGGTTTTGTTTAAAAATTAGGAAAAAGAAGAAAAAATCTGAATAAATATTAACAAGAAATGTTGGCCTATTTCCTGCTTGAGTTAAGAAGCTTTATTTTTGGACCCCAAGGAGGACTACTGGAGTCCTAAGACAGTGCAAACAAGGGCTCTGTTCTAGCTGAAAGGTTAGCGTCTCTAAACCCACCTGAGGCACCTTGAAAGATAAGCCAGGTGATTTTCAGAAAAACTTTATGTAGCCGTACTGTGTACACATGGGGTGGGTGTAAGTAAGGATTAATTTAGTAGCAACAAGTTAAGAATTGTGGGCCCCTGTCCGGAGTTCTGGTGGCCTACTGGGTAAGCAGTTTTGCAGCCAATTCAAAAACACCTGGTTCAAATCCAGCAGCTGCACCATGGGAGAAAGATGGACAATCTCCTCTTGTGTGCTTTACAGCTTCTGAAAACCTGCTAGAGGGTCTGCCATGTGTCACTTCAGACTCAACAGTACCTAACAGCGAGAAGCAGCACATTAGACTGCGCTATCAAGTATATGTGCTTCAGCTGAATTCAAAACAGGAGAACAAAAAGTACATCCTAGGAGTACAGACTATCCTGTGGACTGCCAAGAACAAGTAGGTATTAGGCAAGGATGGTGAAGCTCAGCTCACACATGCTGGGCACGCTGTTAGGTGGGACCTGTCCTTGGAGAAGCACATCATGCTCGGAAAGGTGGAGGATCAGCTAGAGGAAGACCCTCAGTGAGAAGGAGTGACAGAACCGTCACAACCAGCTCAAGACGGAGCAGAGATGGTGGGGATAGCACAGGGTTTGGATCCACTGTTTATGGGGTCACTATGAGTTGTCATTGACTTGATGGCTTCTAACAACAAAAACAGGAGGAAACATTTTTCTATACATAAAAAACATGTTAATAGAAACTCATGCATCTTCATACAAATTATTCATAAAAAAATATACCGTATCACACTCAAGAATCATAAAGTTTACTGTTTCTTTCCCATCATTTGGCACATATCCAAGGCACATTAGAAAATTAGAAATCATAAATTACTTTGTAGAAAAATAATCAATCCCTCTCTTTACATATGCCAAGTATTTCGAAGAACATGCACAGACCCTTTTTCCCTATTACAAAGTTATTTGAGAATGTGCTCAGGACAAACTCATGTTTGCTGCTTTAGACCAATTAACAAAAAATAATTGTATAATCTATAGAAATTTATAAAAACTAATAAGTGGCAATAAATTGTAACTTAAAGTAACTGATCTGATTTATGCTGTAAGTTTTGAATTTGAATAAAAAGATTCAGAAAAGATGTGCCCAGTCTACCCTCTTCTAGTTCAGTGACCATCCTGATGTGACAGTAAAAGGGAGGCTCTTCATAGAAAGGGATGTTCCTAGATACTGCTGCAGACGCGTGTGCGCAGTGACCTGCACGCACTTTGTTGGAAGGAAAATTCTATGCAGCTTTTCACTATGTACATGGTGTGGGACAGGTCTAGGATGTCCTCACACTACAGTGAACATCAGTATGGCATTTAGGCATCTTTGGGTTCAAGTGCTGCTTTGCAGGGGGACATTTTGCTGGGATCTCTTCCTCATTCATGTGTGACATTTCTGCCTGCCTGGCACAGTATCATGGATTGCTTCCCTTTACTTTATCCCAGATGGGGAATTCTTTTAGCTTATAGTTTCCTAATTTAGGCATGTCACAAAGGTTTAGCACCTTTCAGAAGAAGGGGATCAGAATCGGGTGATGAAACCTCTTGCAGTAAGTAACCAGTGAGCCCAGAGACGAGACAGCCAGGACTCAGGCCCTTGGAATCCACGGGCATTTCCATCTCTTCCTTCTGACGTGCACGGATGAGCTCTGACGAGGAGGTGGTAATTTTGTGTTGCTTTCTTGCCTCAGCCACTGTCATGCTCAGCATCTTGTTGAGTATTCACTTGCAGGAAGCAGATGTCCCAGTCCCCTACTCCTGTCCAGCATGGGAAGCCTGAGGCTCCTGGCGCATGGTGAGGCTGCTGGCAGGCTCTGGGCCCCTTGCCACAACCACATCATTGAGGGTGTGTCTGCGGAGGAGCCACCTGCTTCCGGGAGCGCTCTGCTTCAGGGCAGGCCTCTCGGGCTCGTCACCATTCCCTCGCTGGTCCAGCAGGTGGGTCCGTGGCAGTGTGGCTCTTTGCCTTCCTGGCTAAAGAAAAGGCACATTTTAAACAGTTTCTTTACATTTAGGACTTAAAACCATAATTATGATGACAGCAGCTACCTTCGAGGGTTTTCTATGTGGCCAGGTGCTGCTGAGGCAGCAATTCCATTCTCATGGCCCTTTAGTGTCGGTAGGACATCTGACTGTGTACGAGATGTGCCATACATGTAGATGGGCTACAAGTTTTCACATTTTATCTTTACATGTCTAAGAAGTATGTACTATTGTTATTCTCACATTACAAGTGAGAAAACAGGATTAGCAAAGTTAAGCATCTGTGTCAGTAGGAAGAGAAAAGGAGCACAGAAGTGAACCAGGCAGCCTGCGAACTCCACAGCATTCCAGCCAATCAGCAGATCTATTGGCAAAGCCACAGAAGGTTAGGTAAAAAATTCAATCAGTCACGTTAGTAAAGGTTCATCAAAAAGGCCTATGCCACGCTGGCTGCTCATCAGTGCTGACAGACTGACAAACAGCAGTAAGAAAAATGTTTCTACACCATATATAGTTTGTAAAAGAGCAGGCTGCTGCTTATAACTGAGCAATCAAGCCACACTATTAGTAAGAGCACACACACAGAACTAACTATACGTGCAGCTTATCTAGAGAAGGTCTTTACCACTCCGTATGCATACAGTTAATTTTTTTCTGTATCAGTGATTAAATAAGCTTAGTGAAATGACTATTCCCCTACTGTACACATGAACTGCCCCTTACCTTGCATACAACTATTTTCCACATTCCCCCTCTTTTCTCAGCTCAGAAATGGACTTCTAAATATAAGAATATAGTCTGTAATCTTGACTGTCCCACTAAAGAATTACAGTTCAATAATTCTTACCCTGAATGAAATAATGAGATGAAGGTGACTATTAAGAGAAAGGTGCTTACCATGGATTACTCTGAAAAAGCCAGACTCTCTAAAACAGTGATTACAAAGCAGTAAGTAGTGAACTCACCTGATGCAGTGAGTCTTCAGTCAAGTTAGGGACACTTCGATCTCTTGCCATAATCTCCCTTGAAGTCTTTCCCCTGAAAACACAAACACAGGTAGTAAAAAACCCAAACATGTTGTCATTGAGCTGATTTCACTTCTGGGATAGAAGTGCAGCTTCCCTGTTTCCCCACAGCTGTCACCTTGTGGACACTCACTGCATGACTACTTCTCCCACAGGGCTGCAGCTGAGTTCAAACCTCTAACGTTTCAGGGGGCACCTGAGCACACGGCCACTGTGCCACCAAGGTCCTCCTGAACATTTGTACTTTTGGTATCTTCACTACACTCCAGTCAGAACTGACTCATAGCTGACCCTCCGACAAGTTATCTGGGGCTACAAACCTCAAGGAAAGAAACTGAGAAACTGCCCCTCTTTCTCCCAAGACACTGCTAGTGGATTTAAAGCGCCAGGGGGCCACTGCGGGTCAAGAGCCCAGCTCCCTGTGGATGTGCCCCAGAGCTTGCTAAGGAGGTGGAACAAACTCAGCCCATTGCTTCCAGTCAGAAACAGTTCAGTGGTTTTTCAGAAGCTGTAAATCACACAGCAGGAGACTGCCTATCTTTCACAGAGCAGCTGTCAGATTGGAACTGTGTGCCCGTAAATTGGCAATGCAACTCCCTACCAACTAGGCCACTGGAGCAACTGGAATAAAAACCACTCATTGGCCACAAGAACCACTCACTGGAGGCAAAGATGATAATCTGAATGCTGAGCAAATTATTTGTGAAGCTGGGCTCTATGAAGAAGAATGTGGCATCAAGATTGGAGGAAGGTTCAACAATAACCTTCATTATGCAGATGACACAATCTCGCTTGCTGAAAGTAAGGAGGACTTGAAGCACTTGCTGCAGAAGGTTAAACAATGCATCTTTCAACATGGATTGCATCTCAACATCAAGAAAACAAATCTTTGCCACTAGATCGATAGGCAACATCTTGAGAGATGGAGAAAAGACTGAAACTGTCAACGACTTCATCTTTCTTAGGTCCACAATCAATATCCTTGTTTCTAATAGTCAGAAGACCAGGAGCTGATGGAAAGTCTATAGTCGGGGACCTCCCCAAATTACTGAAGAGCAATAATGTCAGTTTGAGGATTCAGTGCGCCTGATTTAGGTCATGGTCTTTTCAGTCCCTTGCTATGCTGCTGAGAGCTGGACAGTGAATAAAAATGACAGAAGAGGGAGGCCTTTGAACTGGAGTGCTAGAGAAGAGTACTGAGCATCCCAGGGACTGCCAAAAACCAAACAGATGTGTCCTGAAGAAGATGCAGTCAGAGTGCTCCTTAGAGGGAAGGAGGGTGAATCTTCATCTCACACTTTGGGAATGTTGCTAGGAGAGGTTATTCCTTGGAGACATCATCATGCTTGGAAAGGTGGAGGAATGGCAAAAAAAGATCTTCACCCAGGTGGAATGACACAGTGACTACAGCAACGGGCTGAGTGTGTCAGAGATTGTGAGGATGGCACAGCATACAAAAGGCTTCAGATGTGGTGTTCACAAGGTTGCTAGGCGTTATACCCAGTGCAAACGCACCAACAAGACTGGCCACAGGGTGGCAGCACTTGGTGGCTGAGTTCTCTGGAAGTTGCATCAAAGGCCACATACTACTCTTCAGGCTATTCATATCCATCCACCAGCAAGCGAATCTTGGGGTGAAAGTGGGGGAAGATGGGCAGTCTTCTGTATGATTTACAGCCTTGGGAATCAGCTATGAGTAGGACAGGACTCAGCAATGAGTGATGGAGTGAGTGCAAAGGGAGCAGTGGTGGCGATGTTCACTCAGAGGTGGCCCTTCCTTGGTGGTTACATCCCCTCGTGGCTCCTAAGGAGAAAGCCGGGCAATCTCCCCTCATGGTGATTTACAGCCTCGGAATGCGATGGAGGCTCAGCTATGAGGTGGAACAATCCTGACAGCATTGAGGGAGCGAATGTGAATTTGTCTATCCTTTAATCGTAAGTAAACTCAGTGTCAGAAACAAAAAAATGAACTTCAATTTTATACTTACTTTAACTGAGCAGCTGAGGGAACAAAGTAAAACTGTCTTGTAAAAGGTTCCTCTGGTAAATCACATATTTTTGAGTTCCCTATAGATAAAAAGATAAACATCTCCATACTTCAGAAATAGCACAAGAATTATTTTAAAGCTAACAGATACAATCTTCCTTTTTTAAGTTTAACATAAGTTAGATAATCTAAACTTAAGACATATACTAGGTTATCATTGTGTGAACCCCCATGAAACAAAGAGAAGCCGTAGAATTATCCAGGTACATGAGTGATCTTATTCACACTGACACTGCAAACCCATGTTCTAACTGAGAGAACAGTGGATCACAAACCTCTCCTAAGCTAGAATAACTTGAGGGGTGGGAGGAGACTTCAGTCCCCACTTCTGTATAGCAGCTACACTTCTAATTACTATGAATCTCTGTGCACTTGCAAAATTTCATTACTAAATCAAGTTTTAAAGGTGGCATTTACCCTCAGTCTGGGAAATGCCCAGAACACCAGGCTTGGAACGTGAGGAATGAAAGAAAATGCTAGAGGTTCCTTCTGCTAAGCAGAGGCCTGACTCTTCGAGGTAATACAGAGTTTCTCACTTCTTTAAGAAGCTCATTACAATCTATCAAAACCCTAATATCCACAAAAGCTTTCCTTTTGTGGGGCACTTTAGAGTATCACACACATGAGCCCCTGTACTCCCCTCAGACATGATAATGCCATTTTATAAAAACCAGACACTACCCACCTTTTTCCAAACCCAAGCTGAGCATTATAAAAGGAACCGATGGAACACTTACATTTCTTCCTGATCTTAACTGTGACGTATTCTTTGTGGTCTGTCTCATCAGCATTGTCTACTGTGGCCACACAGCTTGGTACCACCTGCAGTAATTCCATGATCTTTGAGCCCTGCAAAATTGGGGAGGGAACAGGTAACAGCATCACTCGCTATTCATTCAGTGAGGCGTTCCAGTGCCTAGCATGGCTGTGGTCTGGCAGAAACATGAGGAGCAGCCCCGTGAGGCCAGTCAGCCTGCATTTGGAGCCCGGATCCAGCCTCTATCACAGACTCTGGGGCAGATACTGAATCACTCTGTGCAGGGTTTGGCATTAGCAGAACCTATTCATGCACAGTTGTTGTGAGCTAAACAAGTAAAACATTAGAACAGGGCCTACCAGTTGCATCTGAGTTAGTTTTGACTCAGCAACCCCATGTGTGTTGGTAGAAATGGGCTTTTAACCAGGGTGCCTCTGGGGGACTTCAATTGCCATCCTTTTGACTAAGAGCTGAGCACTGTTTGCATCACCCAGACCATGTGTACCCATAACAGCGCCAAGCACACAGAATGTGCTCAATTTTAAAAAAGCAAATCTGGAATCGCAATAGCTCCATCTCGAATCATCTGGTGTATTCATGTATTCATCAATAAACTCAATTGAAAAACCAGGTCTGGAATAGCAAGAGCTCCATCTCTGCATCACTTGGCGTGTTCACGTATTATCATCATTTGTTGTTTGGTATCATCAAGTCAACTATGACTCACAGCAACTCTACTACATACCTGAACCCTGCCCTCTCCTGTACTGTCCTCATGACATGCATTGGAGGCAACAGTAAATGAGAAATTTTTTAAAAATCTATTAAGAAATGTTACTGAAATTTTAAGTGATACTGGGCTTTCTGGTGCCCTTGTCAAGTGTGCCATGTAACCATCCCGTGGGGAAGTAGTCTAGATTGAAAACTTCAATAAGAAGCACGACAGGAAAGGACTTTTTCCTCATCATTTCCACAGAACTAGCGTGGTAAATCAGTGATTACAATTCCTTCACAGAACTCTGTCACGCTGCTAAGCAACAGGTGTCGGGGTGGTGAATTCAGGAACCTGTTTTAACTATTCTACATCCCGTGAAACCCCATCCCTTCAGGACCTGGTTGCAAGAAAACTGTGCCGGAGCATGCAGGAGGCGCCCCTGCGAGAAGGCGAGAAGGCGACGGGACGACTCCTCTCACACCTTTGAAAATTATCCTGAAAGAGCAAATCCATTCCCCATGTCTGTCACCCACGATCAGGGCACAGAAGCACAGTGTTTAACCACATGGGCAGATTTTCTGTCACACGCTGCCATCTCAGCCCGAGTGAGTGGTTCAGAGATGGAGCTGCTGCTGTTCCAGATGTGGTTTCAGTGCAAGGACTCGAGGGTGAGCGGGACAGGAGCTTGACAGTCTGAGCCCTCAAGCTCCCCACTCACCTGGTCAGCACAGTCGAGAGCTGTGCGCTGCCTCTTGTTCAAGACTTGAACGGACGCCCCATGGAGCAGGAGCAGCTCTACTACGAAGACGTGCCTTCCTATCACAGCCTCGTGCAGTGCTGTGTTGCCCTTATTGTTAGAGACATTGATGGAGGCCCCACGCTAGAGAGAGGAACAACACAGTCAAAAATAATGCGACAAGCTGTTCAAATCCATCCGCTACTCTGCGAAAGAAAGGGGCGTTCTCCTCCCATGCAATCGACAGCTTCTGAAAACCTGTCAGAGGGTCAGCTATGAGTCAGTTCCCACTCAATGGCACATAACGATGCTACAAAATGTGAATGCAGAATATATGCAGTAGGTATACAGGTGCTGACTATAAAATCCCTTCAACTTTTTATGCAAGTCTGAAAATTTCCATAGTAAAATGTCAAGGGTTAGAGTTACACTGAGAAAAAGAGTTAGGTACAAAGAAGCCACTGCAGCATTTATCATCATAGGAGAAATAAAAAGAAAGGTTACCTAAATAGAAGAACTGAACCTGTTTAAAAAGAAAAATACTTATCTTTTTAATGAAAAATTTTCTTGTTAAATGGAAAAACAAAAACACAACCAACAAAAAAAACCCCACCACCACAGTAGCAAATACTGGTCTAAACTATATACATTTTCAAAAGTCCATGGCCTTCACAATTACTTGTTATGCATCAAAAAGCTGAACAGTGACTAGGGATGATAGAGAACTGATGCCTTTGAGTGGTGGTGCTAAAGAAGAATGTTGAATATACCATGGACTGCTAAGAGAACAAACAGGTTCACCCTGGAGAGGTGAAATCAGGCTGCTCCTTGGTGGCAAGGATTCTGAAGCTCTGTCTGGTATACTCTGGACATGTTGCAAGAAGCCCTTTGAGAGGAACGTCATGCTTGGGAGGGTGGAGGGACAGCGCAGGAGAGGAAGACATCCGATGAGAAGGACTGACTCAGTGACTGGGGTAATAGGGGTAGATGTGTCGGAGACAATAAGGTTGACTCAGGATAGAGCAGGGTTCAGAGCTCTAGCACACAGGATCACAATGAGTCACAGGCAACTTGCTGGCACATAGCAACAATTAAAACTAATGGCTGCTGAGAAGGAGGGTTATTTGCCAGTTGGTTTTTCCTTCATTGCTTTTAATTCTTTATCTTACAATCAACATATGTAACCTTGATCAAGACCAAAAAAAAGAGATACTGTTTTAAGAAGTATCCTTTAAAGACTAAGAGTTTTCATTCAGGGCAGTTAAAAAAAAAACGTGCCAACAGTGGTAAATGGGGCACAACCTAACAAAAACTCAGTGCCATCAGGCTGGAACCCCCATAGCTGACCCCTGAGTAGGATTCACAGGCTGAAGATGACTCGAAAAGAGACTGGCCTTCCGTCTCCTGAAGAGGCACCAGTGGGTTCAAACACTAGAGAGGCCCAACCCTGGATTAACAGCGCTATTCCCTATGGGCAGAGTGACTCTGATTAATGCCAGTAAATGTAAAATTTATAAAATGTAAAATGTCACTGATGTAAAAATGGTTGAAATGTTTTGTGTAACACACTCATCACAGAAAACAGAGGATGGAGAATTATAGTAATGTGAAGGACATTAAACTTATACTTCAGATAGCAACTCAACTTACCCCTAGTTATGAATCAAACCTTCAGCCTAAGCAGAGTCTAAGATCTGAAGCACGGTCCCTGGGATCTCATTTCCCACCACAGAATCTTACACAGAAAATGAAGGCAAAGGTGCAGAGGCCGACCCTTTCCATTCACCAGTGCCCGGCCAGAGGCGAGAGCGCTGCGTGAAAGCCCTTGAGGTTATGCCTATTATGACCAGGCCCCAGGCTCTGTCACCACAGTCAAGGAGCTGTCCTACCTGCAGTAAGAGTGCTGCGACTTCATGATACCCTCTGGAACAGGCATAAATGAGGGGTGTATTTCCACTTAGATCCTTTTTGTTGGGTTTTGCACTCAAATCTAATAGATACTTCACCACCTGGTCCAAGAAGAAATTTTAATTATAATTTGCAGGGTGAAAAAAATCCTCCAACAAAATATTGTATTGCCTTTTCTATTAAGTTCTTTAGAAACATATTAGACCCTCAGGAAAAAAGCAAAAGTAGACTAACTGAAGGGAAGCAGGGATTTACACCTGGAGAGGACCTACTGTGTGCCAGACAGTGTGCTGGGGACGTGTTCATTTGCTTTCCTTTTGGAGAGGTGGACTTACCAGTCCAGTTGTACAGATTAGGAAACTGATGCTCGAAGCACTGTGCTAGGTAGTGGGAGAGATGGAAGACCTGGAATATGACCTCTATCTTTAAAAGTCTACTATAGAATTTTAAAAGGGAAAGTGTGTGTGAGAAAGTGAAAGAGAACATTTCAAAAGGAAAACTTTCAAGGAAGAGTGTGGAAAAATCACTAAAATAGCAGAGGTTAGAGGGCTGATGGGGTGAAGAAAGGCAAGATGCTCGAGGCCCTTGAGACAGGGTGATAAAATGCATAGATAAAGGGGAATTAAATAAAGCAACGTATATATATGAATGACTGTCTAAGACACAATGTTCATGAACGATTATATACAAACCAACTAAAAAACAGAAAGATCTATAAAATGTGTTATATATTTAGAAAAGAAAAAAGAGGACTTTAAAACAGTTATTGCTTCCACAGGTCCGTCTATATGGACGCTGGCCGTGGGATGTAAAGATACAAAGATTATCACGGGCAGAACTTTGAAAGCCCAAACGCCAAAGACAGCCACCAGTGGAGCTGGAGTCAGAACAACTCTGAGCCACCCAAGCGCTGACGGCAGTGTGGCTGCGGCTGTGCTGTGAGAGGAAGGAAATGTCTCGATCCTCTGTCACATCCGCACCCAGGGAAGGTCTAACCAAACCAAGCACTCCCGACACCCCCCCCCCCCGGAGACAGAGCCCAGACCTGAAAGTGGCCCTTCTGGCAGGCCAGGTGCAGGGGGACAGCCTGGTCCGCATTTCTGATCTCTGTGTTGGCGCCATGCTTAAGCAGGAGGAGGACGAGGTCAGCCCGGCCGTGCACAGCAGCGACGTGCAGAGGGGACGAGCCATCCTGGTTGGTCACGTTCACACCAAGCCCACTGGCAGGAACCTTTGCCAGCTTCTGTCAAGGACAGAAAATGGAACGAGAAATCCCATTAATATATCTGTGTTATGAGGCTGACAGAGTTGAGGCTGTTCACTTCTACATCCCTGAGCAAAACTTAGAAGGCCAGTGGGAGGCAGAATCAAACTGAGGACAATTATTTCTGAAAAGAATTTTTGGAAGCAGGAGTAGCATCCACTTCCTAAACAACACACCTCTAGAAAATCTATGAACTTAGAGGCTTCGGGCGTTTTGTTCATAGGGTCGCTACGAGTTGTGCTTATCTCGAAAGCAAGCAACAAAAACATGATATATTAAAAAAAAATTAACTTCCTTCCCAACATTTAGTACCCCAGCTTTAATGATGCGTGAGAGCCTATTTAAGTGCAGGCAGTAATTCCACAGGGAAGGAAAGGTGGCTGCTGTCACCTGGTGCTGAACAGGTGGATCCCCTTACAGGGGAAAACCTGTGTGTCAGCCCTTCTCCCAGCAAACACAAAAGCCCCTGAATGCTTAAATGTATAAGCTACCACTACAAAACTTCTTGTACACCAGGGAAAGTAAAGATTCTTAGATAAGATACAAAAAGCATAAACTATAACAATTGTAAATGTTTACTTTTTCAAAGATACAGCTGAGTATAAGAACAGACAAGCCACAGAGAGGGAGAAGGTATCTGCAATCTATGTGCTTGACAAAGAGCTTAAAGCCAGACTACATTAAACAACAGGGAGAAAACAACAAAGACTTCGACCAGGAAATCTGATTTTAAAGGAAAAAACCCAAAATCTGAACAGCTGTTTCACAAAAGAAACAGGTCAATGAGTCCATAAAAATACATTCAACATTAGTAAATGCCGATCAAATCCAAGACTGAGAAGAACACAAGTTAGACCAGTGGCTGCCAGGCTCTGGGACCGGGGGAAGGGATGATGACAAAGGGTGAGGCGAGACTATCTTCTTAGGTAAGAGGGTCCAGGGCAGTGGATACATGGCCATATGTTTGTCAAAACCCATTAAATAGCTCATGAAACTATGACAGATTAAAAAAGAGATTTTACCATTTATCAATTTACCACAAAAACTCACAATGAGATGAAAAAAAGTACTGCTTCAGCTTGAGCAAGCAAGGTCATGTCATCTGCGTCTCACTGGTTGTTGAAGACTCTTCCTGATACTATTTTCAAATAGTCCAGCTTTTCAAATTCTTTCTTCACAACAGACTCAGTATGAGTTAACCCACTGAACAAGGCTTACAGTCGGAAACCCCAATGGGAGGTTAATGAGCTGGAACCCACGTGACAGCAGGTGAGTGCTTGTTAATGACATGCAGTGATTTCCACGGTGGGCTGGATCACCATTCTTTGATTAGAGGACAACACGCTTCTACCACCACCAGAGCTTCTTTGGACCACAATTCTTTGGAATGGGCACAACCGAGGATCTCTTCCAGTTGGCTAACCAGATCTTTGATTTCTTGGCAGACACAAGTGAGCACGTCCAGGGCTGCATTTGTTGAGAGCCTTTATTTGGTAATCCATCAATTCCTCGAGTTTATTTTTGCCAGTGCCTGGAGTGCAACCTGGATTTCTTCTTTCAGTACTACTGGTTCTGAACCATGTGATACTGAGATGGCTCACTACTGACCAATTCTATTTGATACAGTGACTCCTTGTATTCCTTCTGTCATTCAATATTTTGCCCATGTTGTTGTTAGGTGCCATTGAGTTGCATATGGCTCACAGCAACCCTATGAACAACAGACATCTTCATCAACTTTCACATACTTGAGCCCACTGCTGTGTCAATCCATCCTGTTTGGGGTCTTCTCTTTCGCTGCCTTTCACTCCGCCTTTCCAAGCATGATGTCTCTTTCTAAAGAATAGCCTCTCCTAGCAGCATGTCCACAGCATGAGACACAATTTCACCATCTTTGCCTCCAATGAGCACTCTGGCTGCACTTTTCCCAAGACATTACCTGTTTTTTCTTGTGATCCATGAGACTTTCAGCACTCTCCTGCAACGCCACAACTCAAAGGCATCAATTCTTCTGTCATGTTTATTCACTGTCCAGCTCTCAGATGAGCCACAAATAACTGAAAAGACCATGGCCTGGCAGAATCCTTCAATATTACAACTTGACTCTTGGGTCTTTGCTTCCAAGATGACAAAGGGAGAGAAACAACGATCGGGCCCAAAGGGCCGCAGCCACGTGAAGCCTACTGGCTGCACAGATTGCACTGTGTACCCAAAGACGAGGCAATTAACAAGTTTGTCATCTGAAAGTAAGTAGCTGCAGCTACAGGCAGGGACATTTCCAAATCGCGTGTCTTCAATCCACACAAGCTCTCCAAGCTCTGTGAACCGCACTATTGTATGAGTCGTGCTGGTGACAGCAAGGAGGCAATGAGCCATTCTCTTGAAGCCCAGAGGGACAGAACACCTCCACCCAGATTTAGAACTGCAGGTGCTGCCCCATGACCTCCGCCAAAACCTCTATAAGGATTTGATTCCTTAAAGGCTGAAGAATAAACTAACGTGAAAGAAAGTAGAATGAAAATTATACTTTGAAAAAGAAATTATTATAACTTGAGGCTTGAGATTCCCACACCCCGTTCTTTCAGCTTGAGAAATGCTGAGCCTGTTTTCCCCTGCGTTTTTTTTTAACACCAGCTCTTTGCTTTATCTTCTCCAGCTGCCCTTTGAAATCTTCTGTTTATTTGAGCTTCTCTACATAGAGGATGTTTCAGAGTCTGTTCCAACATTCATCTGGGTCTATTTTAATGACCTTTTATTCATATACTATTTCCTTGACATCAGCTCACAACTGGTCGGGTCTTCTCTGGTCATTACTTATACAAAATTCTACCATACAATCTCTAGGTGTCATTTCTATCCCAGCCATATTTCCCAGCTACTGGTCCTTCTTTTGACCTCATGATTGCATGTTTGATCAATTTCCATCTTTCACTTAAGAGGTTATTGTGTAAATCTGAATTACAGTCATTCACAGGGCTTCATTGTATACATATGGATATTCTTCTATCACTGACAGTATTGGCCTTCAACATATAGCTTGAGATGTCTTTTCAATGATGAATGCAACGCCATTCTCTTTATCATTCCCAGCATGGCAGACCATACAACCCTGTCTGATTCAAAATGCCCAGCAGCAGTCCATTTCTGATCAGCTGTAATTTCCAATTCATACTACATTCCACATTCCAAATACTAACACATGTTTACATATGTTTCTCTTCATTTTGCGTCATGTCACATGACTTTTTGTTTCATTTGCTGAATGTTTTATTCATACCATTTAGCTCCTCTACCTTACTGGGAATGTAATTATCATATGCCCCAGCAATGGTGCTCTTGGAGAAATGAAAACTTAGGTTCTAGAAAAAAAAATCTTGGAAAGTATTCATAGTAATATTGCAAATCCAGAAACAACTCATGTCCTTCAATAGATAAGTGGTTAAAGAAACTTTAGTATATACATACCAGGGCGACTAAGCTGTAAAGAAATGAACTGTTGTTCACATAAAATGTGGTATAGAAAATAAAAAGCTTTATAGTTTTTGAAATAAAAATTAAAAAAAATTATATAATGTATGATTACATGTTACGGTTTTGAAATGAAAACATCCTAGAAATGAAGACCTGGTCAGTGATGGCTAACGGTTAGGGATGAGGGCAGTGTAAGGAAGGACAAAGGGGAAGGTGAGTATGGTCTTAGAAAGGGAACATGACTGTGTGGGAACAGAACTTCGCTACGTCTTGAATATGATGGTGGACAGCAAAAATCTATACGTGATATCAAATACACATACACAAATGAGGACAAGTCAAACTTCGAACAGGTAAGCTCAATAGTCAATCAATATCAGTATCTTTATTCTATAGTTTTGCAAGATGTTACCATTAGGGAAACTGTGCTGGGTCTGCACTTGGATAGGACCCTCCCTCGGAGAGGACATCAGTAAGAGTACAGCTAGAAGCAATGCAACAAGCGTGTGGGAACCTGCAACCATGCACGTTCTCGAGCATGACCGTTTGTAAACTCCTGGTAAGTGGCTAAGGGGACTAGACAGTAGGGCCACAGCTCCAACACTAAGCATGCCCTTGCTAAGTGACCTGTCCATTCAGAAACAGGCAACCCAGCCAGACGTCAGCTTCTATCTGCCCTGAGCTCATTAATCCCCTCCATCTCCACAGAATAACTCCTCCTAGCCACTCAGCGCCTAATCTGGCTGAGTCGCAGAGACCATCCGTAAGGGGAAGAAAGAACTGTCCCTGTGTCCCTCCCCACAGAAGCCACGCCAGACCTTTTGAGCGGGGGCACACTTGACGCACTGGCACAAGGGGTGACAAAGCTCAAGGTCCACTGCAGTGGCAGGATCCTCCGCTTCGTCCAGCTCCTCCTCCGTCCACTCCAGAAGGTAGCGCACCTATGTTGGATGGTCAAGAGAAACAGGTACTTCAAGCACATCCCCGGTCCTCTCCAAACTACAGACATACACAAACATACAATTAACAGTATCCAATTCAGGCTCAGCCACCAAAGTCATCTGCAAATGGTTTCTGCTCCCTCATGAAGATTCTAGGGTTCATCTGAGCCCACACCTTCCTAAATCCTTTTAACGCTAATAGGGAGAGATTAAGCTACCATTTCTGCAGCTGGTGTTAGAAACTGTTTTGTTCTGTCTTATCAAGAGGCTGACTGATGATTCTCCGGAGTCATCACTTGAAAACCAAATTATTCATATTCCAGAGTGTATTATAATCAGATCCCAGTAATTTCTGCCCAAAACCTCCAATCCAGTCATTGGCAAAAAGTACTCTTGAAACAGGCATCCTTATAAAACTCTCTTGTCATGTCATTTAGTTAGTGACCCTAATTTGGAAGGTCTCAAGGCCCAGGAGGCAGTCCCAATCCTCAATGCTGCTTTGGAGTCACAAGCACCTACTCCTGGCTCTCCCCTCCCCTCATCTACTTCACGCTGATTAGAAGGGGAAACACAGCACTGGCATTACTTAATACACCCTTTTCTATGTGAAACTGAATGAAGAGTCCATGTGATGTGGTCTGTAACAGAATCAGAGACAGGACCTAAGAACTGCATTCAGCTATTTCAACCAAGACTGAGCTCTTAAAAATCCCCCTCTGAAAACTCACCATTTCCTGATCTCCATCAGCAACAGCTCTTAAAAGTTTTTCTACCTTAATAAAAGGAAAAAGAATGTTGGGAAAATGATCTTACTGGCAGTGTAATACTAGAAAAACGTAAAATGGCATTCTGAGAAACTAGTAGCTTTCATTTCTCCCATTTGAGTAGTTTTAACATCCTATTTCTTAATATCTCACAAACAGATACCCAATACTGCTCGGACAGGGCTTCCGAGGCGGTTGTGAGCATGTGCAGACTGCATTACCATTTAAGGAGTAACTGCATTTTATATGGAACGGCAAGATGCTGGTCACCTTCATCACAAGCGCCTTCTACGTGGTCAGCCACCCCTCTGGTTTAGAACTTCATATGCTCAGCTCCCTTTTCCCACCAGCTCACAGGGCTCCAAAGGTGGACACACTTGCTCCAGATTTCAAATTTTCTGTTAAACCTTGGAGTGTATCTTCTGGTTTTCTTTGGGTTAATTTTTGCCTAGAACTCTGCTTATTAGGCCACATGCTAGGGATGACGGGAAGGAGGACTGAGTCAGCGAGGGCGCCCCATGCACAGGGCAATGGTGGAGCAAGCTGGAGCATGTCCACACCACGGTCTGCACTGCATTTAACCAGGGAGGGAGTCCTAGGGGTGCTGATGTCAAACTCTTATGTAAAAACCAAAATAAGGTATAAATCATAAATTGGCTTTCACAAAATGCAATGGGTCAATGTATTTATAAACTTAAGAAAAGTCAGAAATGCTACACTGTAAGTTGTCAGCAGGAAGTGGAATGAAGAAGGGAAAAAATATCTTACTTTACAAAAGAATAGTTTGGCGAGCCCCTCACCACCACACAACTCTCTCCTTTCTCTTTCTCTCTCTCTCTCACACACACTCACACACACACTCTCACTCACTCTCTCTCTTACACACACACACACACACACACACACACACACACACACTCACTCACTCTCCCCCTCAGAGAGCAGACTTTGCAGACTCATCTTGAGGGTTTCAACCCACCCCCAGAGCAGAGGTGTGGCCTCAGCAGTAACCGGTGAGCCCGCTGAACGGGCAGCACCTCCATATAGGCAGGGCCACAGCGTCCTTGTCCTGCTGCGGGGAAGCCTCACCTCTCTGTAGTCCCTCCTGGGATCCTCTTGCCTCGAGCTTGCCGACGCAGAGGAGAAGCTGGACGTGGAGGAGCCCTGACTGATGGAATCCACAGAGCGCTGAGGGGACTGGGCAGGGACCTGCAGTGAAGGCATACAGGCCAGAGGAGACATGAGCACACAGACATGAGAGGGCCCGAAGGGAGGCCCCTGACCTTAGATCTAACCAGCGAGCACAGCCCCATCCATTTACCTCCAAAGATTTCTGCCTCCTTTCAAAGGTCTGATGACTGGCTTCCATTATAGACAAAATCTAAGAGGATTAAAAAAGACATGAAAACTACTGAGTGAATGGGTAGCAAAGAAGCACCATCGCCCTTTATACCCCAATGCCTGCCTGTCTCCTTGGACATTAGCACTCCAAGTCTCCAGTCACACAGCCCAGGTCGGTCTGTCTGTCCATTCTTCTCTATTTTGCACACAAATATACACACCCTGGGATACACTAAGAAACCAAAGCCCAGAGCAGGTGGGGACATACATAAGAACACAGGAAACCGAGCTTCCTGCCATCACAGTATATCCCAGCAGGGGGAGTTAGTGCTCCCAGAGAAGCAACCCAGACACAGACCAGGCCTCAGAGCTACCAGGTCCAGTTCCCAGGCCTCATCCACCAGCACTCACAGACTTCAACAAGGAGAGCTCAGAGCCAAGCCAAGAAGCTGCTGCCCCCTGCCCTCAGCAGAGCGCCTATGGAAGTGGCCTGCAGGGGGAGCTATAGAGGCAAAGGAGCCCCCTTCCCAGCATCTGCCCTCAGAATGGGCAGCACCATTCAGCCCCAGGCACCTGCAGCTAACAGGACGTGACGGTCAAGTGGACAAGTGACACCTCTCCTAGAGTCAGCAGCAGGGAGTTACACCTTCAAATGCTGTGCTGCCTCCAAAAAAAGACACAAATGAGCTGAAAACCCACCCTAGAAGAGAGCCAGTGAACCATCACGAGGGTCAATGCACTAGAACCCTGTGTGCTGTCCACACGGCTGGGTCCTGGGGGCACAGGCCTCAGGGTCACTCAGCACTCCCACGTCACTGTAGCCATCCTCCTCCTGGAGAGCCATCCCTTCAACCCTGCCTGATGCCAAGAGCAGCACCCCAAGACGTAGCGTCAACAAGCTGCCCCATCATGTTACCCAAAACCCTACACGCTTCCAGGGCTCATTACCAGAAACAGTGAACGAGTCCAGTAATGGGGTCACCTGAGGAAGAAACTACACCGAGCCACGTTCAAACGTGACTAACAAGGAGTGGTTCCTCAGGAGCTGGGGTGGCATCCCAGGGAAGCCGGCTCGGCGGGCATGTGCTGTTTTCATGCCCCATCCCCGGCATCTGTTTTTCTGGTCACAGCCCTTGACCCATTTTCAGCCACCCCATCTGCTGACAAATCAATGGCACTCGGTGGCCAGGGCAGACTCTGCTGGGAGCAGCTCCTGGAACAACACTGCTAGCAAACCCAAAAATCATATAAATTAGTAAAAACCCCATTAACAAGCAAGTCCTAAATGCAGCAGAGAGCGAGCGGGCCAAGTTCCGTCCTCAGAAGCTAATGTATAATTTGTTCAGCAAGGCAAGGACGTCATCTATGGACCTGGCTTTTACTTCTTTTTTTAAAGTCCTATTCTGCCCAGCGATGAAAAATGGTACCTTTGAGTTTAGCGCACACTGGAGTGGTGTTTCCTTCAGCCTGTTCTGGATCTCCGTGGATGCTCCGTTTTGTAGCAGCGTCTCTATGATGCCCTGGTAACCCCAGCGTGCAGCGATGTGTAAGGGAGTGTCCCCTTTCTCGTTCCCAATGTCCAGTCGGCACGTATGCACGTCATAGTAGACCAAAGCCTTCACGCACTGCGGGCAAGTGGGCAGATGCTACCATCAACGAGCGTGCTGAGCTGGGGGCCATGTCTGCTCACTCCAGCCTCCATCCTCGTCCCAGCTCAGCCCAGCCCCTACGACTCAAGCACATGTGTGTGCACAGAACGGTAAACCTCAAGGGTTTCACTACTGATCAGGTTATTGTTAACTTTGTGTCACTGAGTGGGAACCGACTCACAGCTGACCCTCCAGTTGGTTTTCAGAGGCTCTAAGTTTCACAGTAGGAAACTGCCCATCTTTCCCCTGAGGAGCATATGGATTCAAACTGCCTGACTCTGGGTTGGCAGCCCAAAATCTTTACCCACTGGGCCCTCATTTTTCCCCAAAAGAACTCAAATGCCTGCAGGAAAGTTGACTGACTTGGTGATGTATCCATGAGCAGAGCAGATACCACAGGCTGGCCCTTGGCTCGCATCTGGGACCACAGATTCTAGTTCTGAATCTGATAAAGGTGGTCAGTGTGCCTTAATGGTTTGTACAACAATGTGGTTTATGCTAAATATCTCCTTTTCTCCTGGGATTCTGGAATTCGGGGACATGCTATCATAGACCGCCTTCTTGACCAATTCCAACAAAAATCTTGGGCGCTGAGTCTCTAATAAGCATCCCTGGTTGACAACACCTCCTACACGGTGTCCTCTTACAACTCGATGCTGGAGGCACTAAATGTGTATGTGTGTGTGTGACTCTCCTGGGAGAGAAGTCTTGGGGTATCTGTCCTTGTTTTCTCTTAACTTCATCCCACGTAACCTTTCCCTTTGCTGACTTTGCTTTGTAACCATTAACTGTAACAAATCTTAGCCATGAGCACAACAGCACCCTGTGTCCTAAAAGTCATCCAGTGAGCCACTGACCCGAGAGAGGTCTTAGGGACTGTGCCCTGCTCCACATGACTGACTGCTGTGCACCCTGTTAGGAAGGGGTGAGATCCAGTTACTGATAATCCAGTTAGTATGCCATATTTTGCACATTTATCCCAAACCCAGTTTAAACCAATGTATTTACCAATCCACCTGTGTATCCTCTAAGAACCAGATGAGCTCTGGTGGCCTAGTGCTAAGGAGCTGTGCTGCCAACCTGAAGGCAGGCAGCTTGAATCCATCAGCTGCTCCATGGGAGAAAGATGGGCAACCTCCTCCTGTGTGTTTATGATGCCTCTGAAAACCCAGTGGAGGGTCAGTTATGAGTCGGTTTTGACTCAATGGTACATAATGACAACAAAAGCAATCTGATACAATAGGAAAGAAAGGAAATTATTTCATTTCCCAATACAAGAATGAGAAATTTTTAGATTTCTATCATTTCAGTATGGCTTCTGCAATTAAATTTGAAAAACCACACACCACCTGTCCCAGTAACTATCAAGTACCAACTCCTCCTAATAATTGTTGCAAAGCCCCATCAAGGAGAAAACTGACCCTCCAGCGGGTTTTCAGAGGCAGCAAATCACAGAGAGGAGACTGCCCATCTTTCTCCCATGGGCAGCTGGAAGATTCGAACCACACGCCCTTGAGCTGGCAGTGCAATTCCTTATTACTATGCCACCTGAGCTTCCTACTCCCAATAATTACCAGTCACAAACCCCACAATAAGTGAACTACACTCTCCCGCTCTCCACGGGCAGTGAAGGGGCAGCACAGCCCCTCCAGCAGGTCCACTTACGTCTTCGTGCCCGTGGGTGCAGGCCAGGTGGAGAGGCGTGCTGCCATTGTTGTCCTGCATGTCGGCACAGGCTTTGTAGTGCAACAGCAAGAGCTTCCAAAGGAAGAGAGAAAGGCAGGTGAGCGCCAGCAGACCAGGTACGGGCCAGCGCAGGGGGTCTGCATCTTCTAAGGGTGGGGAAGGTGTTTCTATTCTAAATCTTATTTACTTACAAGTGCTAGTAAAATCCTATCTCCTTCATCTTTCCTTGCAAAACGTTTAGAGATTGGTGAGGAAGTTTTGACCCCATCCTTTTTCCATCCACCCCCAATTATCAAGAAGCTTCAGCTGGAAACCTAAGGCCTCTGTTCAGTGAACCCAAAGGGAGGGACCACACACTCCCAGCCTATAGAGCAGAGCTGGCCTGCCAGTGTGGAGGCCTGGAGGCAAGACACCAGGGGTTTGAGCACAGCACACCCACAAAATATGCACCCAGAAGAGTCACATCATCTGTGCAGCCGCGCACCATGGCGGCCCTGCTGCTCACCGTCACGCTCTGATAGCCCTTCTGGCACGCCAGGTGCAGAGGGGTTGACCCGTGGTAGTCGGTGGCATTCACCACGGCACCTCTGGAAACCAGGAGGTCAATGAGGGATGCCTGCCCTGCAAACAGAACCACAGCATTATTTCATGCCTCACGGCCTGGCATGAAATATGTCAGTAGGTATTTTTATGCCTGAATTAGATCATTAGATCTGATGTCACATCAGATGCTACAAATGCAGAATCTATAAGAATAGTTAGAGACCCAACTCGAGTCTAAATTTCAACAAGAGATAATGGACAAGGGCCTCCGATGTCCACAGAGACTCTACGGCTCATCAATTCATGTTTTTGTCGTCGATGTATGCTGTCAAATCAGAACCAACTCACAGCTGACCCTCCAGCAAGTTTTCAGAAGCAGTAAATGGCATGTGAGGAGACTGCCCATCTCTGTCTTGTGGATTTGAACCACGTGCCTTACAGGTGGCAGTGCAGCTCCTTACTCCTAGGCCACCAGCGCACCCCATCAATTCACAGGATGAGGTATTTTGTAGCTATTAAGAGATGTACAGAGCTGCATGGAGAATGTTCTATATAGTCAAATGAAAGCACAGTACATAACGGTGTGACTTCCTTGTATTTTATATATACGTGAATACAAGTTTGCAGACATTCCAAGCAATCATTAATCAATACTATCTCCAGGGAACGGGAGGTTGGCAGGTGATATTGGGGAATGTCTGTCCACCAGCCGTGTGTACTTTAACAGAAGACTGCAATGGAATAACCAGATCGGGATGGTGACAGTGTTCACACACTGTCAAGAATGTCACCAGTGCCCCCGAGCAGCCGGTACAGAAGTGGCTGAATGAGAACCTAACCTGCCATGTAAATATTTTCTTTTAAAAAAATATGGAACTCTTCACAAATTTGCATGTCATCCTTGCACAGGGACCATGCTAATCTTCTCAGTATCATTCCAATTTTAGTAGATGTGCTGCCAAAGTGAGCAAGAAATCCTTGGGGTTGGGGAGAGACTGAGTAAGATGGGTTCAATGATGTGTGCTGCACTGAGGCGGAGGAGGGAGGGAACTGTTTAAAAGAGATATATAACTGGGTGTTTCTGTCATCACAGGAGTCTAGAGCGAGGGCTGCATGGTGGAGGGGACCTGGGGGGGGGTTTGTGGAACAATGAAAGAATCTTTTACTTTTCCATAATTTTTGACTCATGTACTTATAACTTGTTAGTCAAATTTGTGTCTTCTAGGTTGCAACACCCCCATGATACATCTTCAAGGATATGAACATGTATGGCCAAGCACAATCAATAAGAGTGCATCTAAATTCCAAAATCAATCTCCATAATAGTCTATGTGTTTCCTACTGCCAAAGGGGCCCTTTAGAGTAGTGAGAGAAGATCTTCACCCTGAAACCCACAGCGTCCCTTTTCAGCAGGAAGTAGCTAAGAGAATACGCCATCCCCTTTTCCTTATGAATCAGGGTGAAGTCTCTCTCAGGGAGGAGTGATAGGGAATGGCAAAGGACACACTGACAAAGGAGATTAATCAGAACTGGCTTTGACAAGCATTGTGGCATTTGGACAAGAACAAACTGGGAGGAGGGTAGAGAGAATGGTGCAGCGGTGAATGAATGGAAACCCAAAATCTCTGTAAATGTTTATGAAAATTAATAAGATATAATTATAGAAGAAAAAAAAATAAAACAGCAGTTATTTTTTTTAAAGCAGGACTACAAGAACCCCAAGCTGACAAGTCCAAGAAAGGCCTCATAGTTTGGGCCCCGACTTTCCTTCCCTGGTTCACATGTTCTTCCGGCCAAGAAGGGGTACACTGGCCACTGAAGTCTGCAAAATGTGCCTCTCCTCCTTCCCTTTTGAGGGTGGGCCCACAAGGGAGCCCCCCACCATTCCAACGGCCCCACCCCAAGTTTCTGAGACTTCTGCTGAGCCACCCAGGCACCATCCCTGCGTCTTGACAAGACACGTACCATAGAGAGCAGCCACATGGAGTGGGGTGTGACCCCTGTCATCCCTGGAGAATGGAGTGACGATGGAAGGGTCATTCAGCCTTCTAAGACACGAAGATGCAGAAAAACACAGTAAGGAAATGGACAGCAAAGCCTTTTCCAGGCCAGTCCTGAGACTAGATCATAATCTGCAGCCCGAGCCATGTCTCTCCTACAGAGTCCTGGAGCTCATCAGAGCCCCCGCTCGGGATACTAAAGCATGGAGGTCCTGAAGGATCTCGTTCAGCGTCCTTCACCCAGTTCCACCTCTCAGCCCTCCACTCCCAGAAAAATAACCTGACTAGGAGGTTCTTCTGAACAACAGAATGGGAGACAAGAAACACTATGTGCAGAGGTCGACATAGTGAAGTCACTTGCTGAATGCCCTCCCCATCTCTTCCTCTGAGGGGCTGGGTACACCTGAATCGCACCTCTACAGCATCCAGCCCACCTGTGCCCATGTACTGTTAAACCTCTAGTTCATCTCAGTTTCCGGAGAGGAAAAGAGATGATGTGGCCCCCTCTGCTTTACAGCAAAGGACTCTGAGGTGCAGTGAGGATAATCTCCTTACTCCTAATCACATAGCAACGAAACAGTTCACTCAACCCGGGCCCCGTCTCTGCTCGCCGCGCCCTCAGCCACCATGAGCATCCCTCACCCAGACACGAGCTTCTCACAGTCGTCACAGAAGCACAGAGGGTGACACATCTTTTGGACAGCATCTTTATCGTGGTCTTCTTGGCTCAGAAGCCTTTCTACTTCCTTCTGGTTACCTGATGCAATGTGCTAGAAGGCGGCACCAAAAATACTATCAGTATGAAGAAATTACTCCTGGTTAAGGTGTCAGGTTTCTGAGAGTTCTTACAAGAAACATATATCCAAATACAAATCACAAATGAAGTAATTTGCTTTCTGGGATTTGCTTCCAAATAAATCTAGGCTGGAAGGAGAAAGCGCAGAGGGTCGGGATGAAATGAGAGTGTGTAGCCACTTGGCAATTACTTAAATGGGGTGACGGCTACAGGGAGGCTCCATCATTATACCTTCTCTTTGCTTTGTAAATATTGGAAATTTTCCATAATTAAAAAATAATAATATGGGTGCTCCCCCGAAAAAAGGTAAAGAAGTAGTAGGCAAAGGAGGGTGCTACCTCCTCACCTGAGTGAGGAATCTGCCACGCCACAGGACAGGGCATCGGGGCCCTATTCTTGCTGTATTTAACAGAACCTTGGTTTGTGGGCAAGGAGGAGGTGAGCTGCAGTGAGCAGACCTGAACCACACAAAAAGCCCTGTAGTTCACCACAGGCTCTTCCTCGCCTGCTGTGACCCTAGATGCAGACTCCAGACCGAGTCACGCTTTCTGAACTCCCACTGGGCACGGGGAACTTAGACACACAGCAGACTCCTCAGGGCAACAGGCCCTTGTAATGAAGACGGTTGTTCATGATTCTCTGCTTTGGTGGTTAGGACGTCGTAGTTCCTTTGACTGAAAGGGAGTCTCCCCGCGTGTGGCAGGCATCAGATATGTGTGACGTGCTCACTAAGCTCAAGAATCGCAAAAGAAAGGAAAAAAAAAAAAAAAAGAATCGCTCCTGCTTTCTGCTCCATCCGGATCCGGCATCAGGCTCCTCACTGTCTGACCTCCGGTTCTTTGGACTTGAGCCAGTGGCCTGTCACCTCACCAACTGAGCTTGGATTCATCAGCCCTTACAGCTCTGTGAGCCAGGAGAAGCCTCGAGCTTCATTTCCTTGAGACTAAATCAGTCAACCAACAGACTGATTTTGAGCACAAAAATCTCTCTTTGAGCACAAAATGGACTCTGCTCTCTCTCAGCCTCACTGGTTTTGCTTCTCTTGGGCACCAAGCCCAAGACAGCCCTCATCCTGCCCCAGCAGTCAGATCTGTAATCAAATAGCTGCTGTGTGCCAGGCAAGCACCACCGAGCCTGGCACTGTGCCCAGTCTATGCACACACGGACACCGGAAGCAGGACTCCTCGAGGTGCAGAGAGGCATCAGCTCTGCTGGGGCACTGCCCTACCGGCTTCACCAGAATGCCCTCCAGCGAGGCCACGCGAGCCACACAGGGAAGGACACAGTAGACGTGCTGGTTCCAACTGAAGAACTCCACACTCCTACCACCCACTCTCAGTGCAAAATGAACCACAGTGGATTTTACAGACACTACAGAGGCTCTAAGATGGACGAGCCTCACACCACTATACACAGAAATGTCCAGACATCTCACCTTAAACAAGCAGTCGATGGGAGTTGAAGTCATCTGAGAGAGCAAGTTCATTCTCTGCTTAAGGAACATCCTGTCACCAAACCCCTCAGATTCCTACAGAAGGGGAAAAAAACACCAATTAGGCTTATTCTATTTCTTGAGTCAGCAGTGCAGGCACCTGAAAAGGGAGGCCCCAGAATGTTCCCTGCCATTTCCCACAGGACAGGACCCACGGTGACATCTTCCCCACCTCACAGCTGGCTCTTCGCACTGAGCTGGGGAGCAGACCCTCAGCAGCCTGGGAGATGGGTTCAGGAAGTGGTAGCTCCAGAGATGTTTCCTGATGATGAGCCCAGAGCAGCAGCTCAAGGGTGTTCTGTGTGTGTGTGTGTGTGTGTGTGTGTACGGGGGGGGAAGGAAGGGCAAGCGAGCGTGTAAGCGACAAGTAAGAGAAATGAGTCACCTCAAACGTGTGGAATGTAGCACACACACTTAATCTTCTCCCTCTTTCAGACTGTCCTGGCCTTCTCTCCCTCTCAAACACCCACCTTGCCTCCACTGCTTTATCTGTCACTTTACCCAGGATCGACTGACACCAAAACCATCCGATAGGCTGATCTGTCTTTATTTCTTAGTGTCAAGCAGCAGGAAAGAGAGAGGGGTTCTACCTTTTGAACATACTTATTAAAACAGCAGACAACCATTGGCCCTAAATCCTTAAATTGCTGGGAGAATTCCCAAGTTAGAGATCTCATTTGTCATTTCAAGGATCCATCCCAATTAACAAACTCAGATTTCCACATTACAGGTAATGTTTACCTAGACACAATGAACTAGAAGCATACTCCACGTTGTAATGTTTACCTAGACACAACGACCTAGAAGCATACTCTACGTTATATCATTTCCAGAAAGCCACATCACTGCTCACTTGAATGCAAGAGCAGCTCACAGGGTGTGCTACAGGCTACTTCTGGGGTCCTCTTTCCAGGTAAGTCTACCTGCTGGCTTCTCTAAGGTAGTTAACCCAGAACACGAATGGCTCAGCCAGCCACTTCTGCTCCAACTTCTACATCCACTGCGACAGATACACAGATACAGATACACAGATTAACAGATACACAGCAACTTAAAGCCAAGTTGTTCAAGAACAGAGAAAAAGACCATAAATACTGTCTGATCAATCTGACTCTTTAACTCCAGGTAGCCAATGAGGGGTTGTGATAGGGGCAAATCTTCTAAGATTAAATTTTCAAAGAGGAATAAGCTCCAAAAAAGGACAGCAAGTTAGCCAAGGCCTATTTGGAAAAGGAGGAAATAGTGTTTACAGTTGTTGTTCTAAAGAGCTGGAACCAACCCAAGGCTGACCCTCCAGCGGGTTTTCAGAGGCAGTTAATCACAGGAGTTGATGGCCCATTTTTCTCCCACAGAGCAGCTGGCAGATTCGAGCTGCATACCTTTGTGCTGGCAGCGCAATTCCTTACCATTCAGCCACTAGAGCTCCCTAAAAGGATTTATTGTTGTTATGTGTGCCGTCAAGTTGCCTGCGACTCATAGCGACCCCATGTACAATAGCCCTGAAACCTGCTCTATCCTGTGGCAACTTTACTGTCTCTAACACACCTACCCTCACCACCCTAGTCACTGAATCAATCCATCTCATCGATGATTTTCTTCTTTCTCTGTCCCTCCACCCTCCCAAGCATGACATCCTTCTCCAAGGACCTGCCCCTCCTTGCAACATGCTCAAAGTATGTCAGACAAAGCTTCAGAATCCTTGCCTCCAAGGAGCAGCCTGGTTTCACCCTCTCCAGGATGAACCTGTTTGTTCTCCTGGCAGCCTATTAGAAACTCATCACGTGAAGATGACCCTCAGTAAACTGGACTGATGATGCAGTAGCTGCAACACTGGGCCCAAACACAGCAACAACTGCGAGCGTTTCGATCTACTGTGTGCACAGCGAGTTAGAATCCATTCAGGGCACCTGACAACAGCAGCCAAGTGGGGAAGACCAGGAGGTGGCAAAGCTGAAGATCTCCCATGCACCTGCCTAGTTCTGCTTTCCAGTGGTGAGGGAATAATTCCTGTGATGTTTATGCTCTGAAAGCTGACACCTTCATTATGAGCCTGCTTCAAAAATGTTGATGTCACCGAGTGCAATTTATCTCAGAGATGAAATGTCTATTATACAGTAAAACCTGTGACCACTGGAACCTGCAAAAGGGAGAAACTTGTCAGCAAATGAACTTTTAAATATTGTCCACTAACAGAACGACAGGGAAGTGAGGAAGTTCCACTTGGTCAAAGGCAAAAAACTTACCAACTCAGAAAAACAAGCAGTCCTACTGCATTCTGATAGACATTCCTCTGATACTCTTTGCTTTCAGCCAAGATCCATCTGACATCAGCTATATTATCATTAGTACCACAGCCTCTTCTAAACCCAGACTGCACTTCAGGCAGTTCTCTGTTGATGTGCTGTTCCAGTCATTTTTGGATAACCTTAATCTTGCTTGCATGTGATATCAATGATACTGTTTGATAATTTCGGCACTCTGTCAGATCACCTTTCTTTGAAATGGGAACAAATATAGATCACTTCCAGTAAGTTGGCAAGATGGTTGTCCTCCAGATTTCTTGGCATAATTTAGTGAGCACATCCAGGGCAGAGTCTGTTGAAATATGTCAACTGGTATGCCATCAATTCCTGGGGCCTTGCTTTTTCCATTTCTTTCAGAGCAGCTTGAACTTGTTCCTTCATCACCACAGGCTCTTGCTCATTTGTGGTTTCATGAAATTCTTCTGTGTTCGCCAATTCCTTTTGGTACAATGACTCTGTATGCTCTTTTCATCATCTTTTTTCTTTCTTATTAATTTTAATGAACATTTACTGAGATTTTGGATTTCTATTCATTCATCGTTGCACTTTTCTCCCTGTTCACCCACCCCAAACCCAGATCGCGCCTCTCTTTGAAAAGTAAAAGAAAAATCCCTTCATTGGTATACAATCCCACCCTCCCCCACTGTAAGTACACTCCACTATGCAACCTTAATTCTGGACTCTTGTGATAACCATAATACCCTATCATATACCGTTTTAAACTGTTCTCTCGCTCATCTGTTTCAATGCAGTATACATAATTTATCCAGTTTTTCTCAGTCTTACCCCAATCCTGATGTCAGTCCCATTCTAAAACAGTGGTACTATGCAGTATTTGTCTTTCTGTGACTGAGATATTTCACTCAGTATAAGGTTCTCCAGGGTCACCCATTTTGAATAATATTGCATGAGTTCCTTGTTTTTCAATGCAGTAGTATTCCATTGTGTGAATATACCACAGCTTCTCTATCCATTCATTTGTTGATGGGCACTTGGGTTGTTTCCAACTCCTTGCTACTGTGAACAAAGTCGTGATAAACATGGGTATATTATAAACATGCATATATCTGCTTGGATGTCAGTTATGGTCTCCTTAAGGTATATTTCCAGTAGTGGAATTGCTGGGTCAAATGGTATCTCTATTTGCAACTTTTTGAGAACGCGTCATACTGCCTTGCACAGTGGTTGCACCATTTTACCCTTCCACCAACAGTGAATAAGGGTTCCAGTTTCTCCACAAACTCGCCAGCATTTGTTGCTTGCTGTTCTGTTAAATTTTGCTATTAGATATTATGAGATGATATCTGATAGTTGTTTTGATTTGCATCTCTCTTAAGAGCTAGGGATTTTGAACATTTCTTCATGTGCTTGTTGGCCATCTGAAGGTCAAAATTTGGTTAAGTGTCTGTTTATATCCTGTGACTATTTTTCAATTGGATTATTTACCTTTGTCTTGTTGTGGTGCTCAAGTATTTTATCTGACATGTCATTACCAAATACTTTTTCCCAGTCTGTGGCTTCCCTTTTCACCCTGTTGGAGAAGTTTTTGGGTGTGCATAGGGATTTGATTCTTAGAAGGTCCCATTCATCTATTTTATCTTCTCCTGGCTGTACAATTTCCATTTTCTCTTAATGCTTCCTGGGTCATTTAATATTCTGCCCAAAGCATCCTTAAGTTTTGCAACTTGAGGCTTGGATTTGTTCTTAAGTTTTTTCAGCTTAAGAAATGTTGAGCGAGTTTGGCCCCTTTGATTTTCTGACTACAGCTCTTTGCATATTTCATTGTAATACTTTGCTTTGTCTTCCTGCACTGCCCTTTGGAATCTTCTGCTCAGCTCCTTAATATTTTTATTTCTTCCCTTGGCTTTGGCTTCTCGGCATTCTAATGCAATATTCAGAGTCTCTTCTGACATCCATCTTGGTCTTTGCTTCCTACTCTGACTTTGCAATGACCTTTTTCATTCTTCCTGGACGATATTCTTGATATCCTCCAACAGCTCATCTGGTCTTCACTCATTAGCGTTCAAAGCCTCCAACGTGTTCCTGAGATGGTTTTGAAATTCAGGAGGGATAGACTCAAGGTCAAACTTTGGTTCCTATGGACTTAATTTTCCTCAGCTGCAGCCTGTACTTGCATGAGAGTGGTTCTGTTCCACAATCAGCATCTGGCTTAGTTTTCACAGCTGACAATGAGCTTCTCCAGTGTTTCTTTCCACAGATGTAATCAATCTGACTCCTAAGCATACTATCAGGTGAAATCCATGTATATAGCCTGTATTTATGGGCTCCATAATCAACACTCTTGGTAGCAACAGCCAGGAAATTAAAAGACAAATTGCACTGGGAAAATCTGCTGTCACATTCCTCTCCAAAGTACTGAAAAGCAACAATGTCAGTCTGGAGACTAAGGTGTGCCTGATACAGGCCATGATCTTTGCAATTACTTGCTATGTGCTGGACAATGACTAGGGATGACAGAAGGAGAACTGATGCCTTTGAGTTGTGGTGCTGTAGAAGAATGTTGAATATACCATGGACTGCCAGGGGAACAAACACGTTTGTCCTAGAGAGGATGAGAGCAGGCTGCTCCTTGGAGGCAGGGATTCTGAAGCTCCGTCTGACATACTTTGGACATGTTGCAGGGTGGGATCAGTCCTTGGAGAGGGACATCATGCTTGGGAGTGTGGAGGAACAGCGCAAGAACGGAAGACCTTTGGTGAGATGGATTGATTCAGTGACTGGGGTAATGGGGGTAGGTGTGTTGGAGGCAGTAAGACTAGCACAGGATAGAGCAGGGTTTAGGGCTGTTGTACATAGCATCGCTATGAGTCACAGGCGACTCAATAGCACATAACAACAGCAATGAGGAGAGAGAAGTTTTTGCCATCTTTACTATAATTTTTATATTGATAAGGAGAAAAAATATTTTTTCTAATGAGAAAAAATAAAGCTATTCTTTTAGGTAAGAATAGGATATATTTCTATGTACAAGATAATCTCAATTATGTAAAACTTAGTAGCACTCAACTGTTTGGGAAATGCAGTAAAATAAGGAGGAAATTTAGTGGAAACACTTTTGCCTCAGTCGCCCTATCTGGACAGGACTGTGTTCTTTTACAAATGTTTCAACTTAAAACTCTGAAAGATCCTAAAATCAATAGAAAATTATGATCAGCTAAATGGTCAACCTTCAGGCTGTGATACTGAGATCTCATTCTGCTGATTCAAGGATTTTTGTGGTATCTCTGTGTCCTGTCACATTGTCTGGCTTTTATATAGCAAAACAGGCCCGAAGCATAATTTTGATATAAGATTTTTCTAATTCACATAGGAAACACAATCACCTAGCTCAACACACTGACCAGAAAACAGTAACAGGGCCACTGAATGGCACCCATTTATTTATTTCTTGCTTATAGTGATCAAGAAATCCAAAGTCATCGATTCTGGCTTCCTGTGCTACCCATGTCCTTTCAAACATGACAAGGATTAATAATGCAAGGTAAGACAGTGGGATCCCAGTTGACAGACGAACACATTTACAAACCATAGGGTGCTTAGTGCTCAGTTTGCTGGGAGTTTTCAAGAATCCCAGCCCTTAAACAGCTGAGATCATTTGCGAGAAAACTTTCAAAACTCACACCTACCACCCCCCCTCCCC